GGGGGGGGGGGGGGGGGGGAAGGGGGTGAGAGAGAGATGAAAAAAGGCGAGGAAGGAGCAAACATTATTCATATAAGGTCGTTGGTTTGACAAGTATGAACCTTCCTCCCCTTGTCCCCCTCTTTTTCGTGGTTTTCCTAATATGACTGAATCGTAGGATGAATCAGGTAAGAGAGATGATTTCTCTGATTTGCAATATCGTCTTGCATTGTTGTAAAGAATATGAATTGTACGGACAGTGTGCACACACCGGCACATTCTCGTCCCACAGTGTTTTTTCAGAGGCCAAAAAGCGAAAAACAAGCTATTTTAGGCAATCGAACAACACCATCGTATGTTGCATTCACCGACACGGAACGACTGATCGGTGATGCGGCCAAAAATCAGGTTGCCATGAATCCGCACAATACGGTCTTCGGTGAGTCATCGGTTTTTCCCTTTACAATTTGGAGCTGGGGAGGGGAAGAAGGATGATGTCGTGGTTTCTTTGCTACAAGAATGAAGAGTGCTTGGAAATGAGTATCGAATTAGGCGAATTAGGCCAGGAAGCTGCAATGTTTTTGAAAAAAAGTGGTTGAACTAAAACATACTTTTTCAGCTTTACAGACTGTTAATTTGGGTTGAGTTTTCCAGAAAGTGAATTTTTCCTTTTTCTGTATAAATTTGCGACACCTGCGGATTAAATTGAAAAATTGTATTCAAGGAAATAGAAATTCGATCCATGATTTCTTGCAGCAAAAAAAACATCTATTTTTTCGACTCCTTTAATTAGAGTTTGAAGGCTGTATGCCAATTTGAAATTCTGCAGATGCAAAGCGATTGATTGGCCGCAAATTTGATGATCCGGCGGTTCAATCTGACATGAAGCACTGGCCGTTCAAGGTGATCAATGCGGATGGTGGTAAGCCGAAGGTGCAAGTGGAATACAAGGGTGAAACAAAAACGTTTACACCGGAGGAGATCTCCTCCATGGTGCTCACCAAAATGAAGGAAACAGCTGAAGCATACTTGGGACATCCCGTAAAAGTTCGTTTTTTCAAGTTTTTGTATGAAATCCATGTTATGAGCATAGTTTCCTTGTAGGTTCTTATATTATATTTGTCAAAATTTGGCAGCATGTTTCGATTTTTGCGGCTGTCCAGTTTTGCTAAGGAAATAGAGAACAGGAACTTGCATGTTACTTTTTCAGTATTTTTACTTTCTCAGTTACCACAGATCACCATGCTGCGTGCTGGGTTTCCTACTTTCCAGTTGGATTTTATCTGGTTTTTTTCTTTTAATTTTATAGGGCTCAGTCCACGCTCAGTTCCAGGATTCAGTTCAGTCCACACCCCGTACTGTTCTTCAATTATCGGCG